GTACTTTGTAGAAATAGTGTGGATTTAAGAAGTTCTCTGAGAAAGAAATTTTTTTTTTTAATTCTTTTTCAGGGAAGTAAGACGACGTCTTAGCCTAGTGATAATTTCCAACCTTCTTAATAAAAAGCATATAGAAATACCTGATGACAGTGACAAGCAGGTACTACATATATATGTTGTGTATGTGTGTGTAATTTGAAAGTTTAGTGAACGTGTGTTATTATTTTGTGGTTTATATTTTACTACTGTAAGCCTATTTTCAAGAACCTTGCAAAATGACCGATTAGTAATTTTTAGTTTAGAATCAGTATTAGAAGTACATTTGCCCATGTGTGTAACTTGCATGTTCTGCAGCTTGTACGAGCAGTATTATGTGCCTAAACACTCATTTTGAGCGTTGGAAGGAGGTCTCCTTCTTTCACTCTTCTTTTGTGTTCCTGTAGAGTCACTCTTTGTTGTAGGGTTGATCTTTTGTTGAGGCAATGTATAAACACTTCAGTTTCTGAATAGTCAAGAAATTGCTCAAAGCATAAAAACTTGCATAGTAATGAAAACTTCCTTTTATCTTTCTTAGTGGACAAATAATCTTGTGGTTTCCAATTTTCTGTTGCCAGTAAACCAGCCCAATTTGTTAATGTTTGTATCTGTAGATGTCTCTTCTGCATCAGTTTCTGCTGTGCATGAAACCTTCTGATCTACTTAAGAAGATGAGAGAAGATTTGGAGCAGCAGAATGCAGGTGGAGACCACCTTCATGCAGAGCTAGAACAGAAGGTATAAAGCTGATAGGGTGCGCTTTTTTTGGTTTTTTACATATCTTTTTATACATATTTTACAGTTTTGGGGAATCTTTCTTTTAATTTCTGTTAACTGAGAACAGTTCTGAACACAGAACTGTACATAGAATCATAGAATCATTTTGAGTGGAAAAGACCTTTGAGATCATTAAGGCCAACCGTGAACCTAACACTGCCGTACACTATTTTGTCCCTGTTCATCTGTATAATTAAAATATCACTGACGTTCACTTCTATTATAGTCATGGAGGAAGGGAAGGAATAACATTTGATAGAGAAAGCTGAATTGTTTTGCAGATGGGGAAGTGGTTAGATTTTCTGAATGGCTGAAGTCACCTGGAGGTCTCAAGTCCTGTTTTTTGTCATTAGAGACCTGTCCTCCCTCCCTTCTGATGTAATCAGTGCAGACTGTTTGATGTTGAGGCAGACCTTCACCTGCGGCCTTTAGAAAAGGATATATGAATATATTTTGAATATTTTCTTAAAAACTAGTACTAGGAAGATTTAGTATTTCCATTCATCCAGAAATTGAATATTAGTTTGGTTATTTGAGTCTGTCATGGAGTCTCTTGGCACATATTTTTATCTGGATGTAGAAGATGGGAAAATAAAGCCAACTAATGAATTTACCTTTCAGTAATTAAAACTACAGAAAGTTCTATAGGTTACTTAGGTAACTTGAAATGGAGTAATACTGTTTTTAAAATGCTTCTAATATAGGAATGTACTGTTTCAAATTAGTTATTTAAGGAAATGTGTTGTCCATTGATCTGGCTGTTGGAGGAATCATTCCAGACCGCGAAGGTAGTGCTGTATCTAGATGTGAAGTGTTGCGATTGTGCTTTGACTGCTAAAGCTCTTTGGATTTCTCTCCAGGCATACTACCTAATCTACATCCTCCTTCATCTAGTCAGTGAAGCTAGTTTCTTTGATGTTATAAATTCTAATCAAAGGGTAAGTAACTTGAGTGGCTAGATCTTTAGATGTTAAAAGATTTGGTCTATTTTGATAATAGTGGGTAATCCTAGGAGTGTGTTATTCACTGACCTGTTGACCGTCGAGTGGCCAGAGGGTGTGGCTGAATGGTGTGCAGGCTAGATTTTGTGTAAAATCAATGTAACTATTTAATTTCTCATTCTTTTCTGGTGAGATGGGGTAAATTGTCATGGTCTTGAGAGACCAGCAGAATTTCAGCATGTCTCACAGGTTCTGCAGAGCCTCTCTGCAGCTCTTCAGTGAGGGATTGAAAACAGGACTTTTATGAAGAAATTGACAAAGTGTGAAAGATCTTGGGAACCGTTATCAAGAGATTATGAAGTTGCAAAACTGCTTTATTAAAGTAATCAGAAATTTAAAAAGCATACCTGTGCATAAACCTTGGGTATGTTTTACCTGCTCAGCCAATTCCTACAAAAGACAATTTCCCGAGTCATTGTTACTGGAAAGGTTATTTTTAGCTGCTGTAACTTCATGACTTTTTTTTTTTTGCTGATAGAAGAACTGAGTGGCACTACACTTCCAGCTTTGGGGACAGAGGGATTTATAAATGAGCTATTAGGAAAAATCTGTGATGTGTAGCTCTGCTATACTTTGAAACTGTTTTTTAAAGCTTCTAGACCTGGTTTACCAAGTGCATAGTAGCAACTGATAGAGGCTCTCTTGATCTTGTTTTCTTTCTTTTCTCCCACTGTGTATTTCTGAGAAAAAAATTGAACTGAGGCATATAATTTTTAAGTTGAAATAATATTTGAAGAAAGCTTTTAGTGTTGACATGGAGGATTTAAATAGCTGTACATTTTTGTCTTTATTTAGCAACACCTACTGAAGCTTTGCAGTGTCTTAGATAAGCACATAAATTGTGGTATTAGGGAAGATGCAAGGCTGTTTCATCGAAGTAAGGTAAGACACATAAGTTGAGGTTTCTTTCTGAGGGGGAGTTAGTTTTCTTGAGGAGTGCTGTTCCCTCACCCCAGCCCTGGAAATTCTGAGAGTTCCTCATGGGTTTGTTGGGTTTTGGGTTGGGGTTTCTTTTCTGGTTTATCTGTCTGTGTCATGTCTTTGCATGTACATAAATATCATCCCATTTTAATGTGCTGAAAATGCTCTTTATGGTGACACCAGGATTCTTAAGAACTGTAAAATGTGAAGTTGTCTTCCTTTTAGCTGAGCACCTCAGCTTTTAGACCCACAGTGTTGCTCCATTTCTTTTCCTGACAGTCACTGCTGGTTGACTCTAAAGAGCAGAGGCTACGTACAGAGCAGGATACAGAAGACTGAAGAACTAACCTATCTTGCATGTGTCTCTGTTTTATTTTCAAATTAATGAGTTTATTGGCTTAAATCCACAATGTTTTAAACTGTGTATGTGCTGTAGTGTACCAAGCTTGGATAATTGCCTTTCATTTGCTTTGTGGTGTGGGCCTTACTAATGATAGAGTCCTCATTTTGTGACTTCCATGCTTTGCATGCTGTCCTAGCAAGCCAAATCAGATCGGTGATAACGTGGCCAACTTCAACTTTGGAAAGCCTTGGCTTCTTCACCTTCAAATCAAACATTTGCAGCTGTGTCCTTCCTTACCTCTCAAGAAGTTTTTTTCCACCAGATTAGTAGAGCATGGTTCATTTTAACACGTTAATTACTCTTGCCTTGGATTTTGGTATCTTGGGTCGCTTTCACTTTTGTCGGTATTGGCCTTGCATCTAGAGGGAAGAATCTCACTCTCTTTTCCCCCGTCACTTCATTCGTGTAACAGTAGAGCAAGTTCCAGAGGACGCTGCAGTGCTGGGTTTTACCACAGCATGTGAAGCAAATCTCAGCTCTGAATGGCTTGTGTTAAACACTCGCTTGTTTTGGTTATGAAAAATCATGGCTTTTCATACAAGGAATTCATTTCAGAAGCAGACAGGGCTGCATAGTTGGCTTTTGTGATTGCAGTTGCAGGCAGCTCTTCTAGGTACAGACTTGTGTAACAAACCGAACTCCCCCAAAGGCTGAGGTGGGTGTCTGGAGGCTTGCCTGCTGATTCCAAACGCTCAGTATGGGGAGTCATGTGCCTGTAATGTGTCTGCGTGGAGCGCATAACTTGAAACTCAGAGTCCCAAATTACAGGGATCTGGTTGGAGTTGGGGTGGTGATGCCTTGTGTCAGCTGTCAAATTGGTGCCTCCCAGTAAACCTTGGGTGTTGGGTTATTGGGGGTTTTATGGGTTTGATGCATAGGGGGAGAGCACGGCATATGATTTTGGCTTTTTAACATAAATGGCTAAACTAATCAATCTGGATTTGCAGGTTAAAAGCTTAGTTGCTAGGATACGTGGCAAATGGCAAGATATGATACAAACCAGGCGGCCTACTCAGGTACTGTAATGAAACCGTTTTCTGTCTTTTCAAATTGCAGGGTGCATTTAACTAATTTTTTAGCATTCAAAAAATAGCCTATTCTTCTAAGCAGTTTTGGGGTTTTTTTCATAGATGGCATGGCTGTGGAATGCACTTAAAATGAATTAGATATTCTTCTAAGCAGTTTTGGGGTTTTTTTTCATAGATGACATGGCTGTGGAATGCACTTAAAATGAATTAGAATAGATTTTAATTAAAATCCTTACTTTGCTGGTTTCAGTAAAACCAAGATTTCATCTTTATCCTTAGAAGTGCTGCTTTTATGAATGGCTTGTGTAATACACTCAGTGCTAGTACTGAGTCAAGCCACAGGGCCTGTCTCTGATTATAGTTATTAGTGGATGCTCCGGAAAGGACGTCA